TTATTTTATGTAAAAAAAATTAAATTAGTAACATAAAATCAAACTACATGCAATATATAAAAATAACAAATTATGTATAGAATGCAAATCTCATAAAATGTAAAATTGCATTTAATTTTTTATAAAATTCATAATCTTGAAGGTAAGTTTGTTTATTTAATTGATATTCATAATACTAAGTTATTGATCTCAGATATTATTAATGTGCAATCTTTACAAATTACGATAGTTAGATGAGGTGTTTGAGTGGTGATTCTTTTAAGTTTACGTAGTGATTCAATTCAGTTTAACTCAAGTTTTATAATTTATGCAGTAGTGTACTTTCAATAAGACTAAAGTAAGACAGTTCAATTAATTTAGAGATATAATAATATGTTTATTTATGATAAGAAATAATAGAAATAAAAAATAAGAAATAATAAGAAAAAGTAAAAGAATTAAAACACTAAATGCGAAAATTAGACTAGACACCTCTAATAAGACTACTAAAGGTGTATCTAATGTAAGACTAAAAGAAAAACTAAAGTGAACTAAAAGCAAATTAAAGTTTACATAATTTTATCATTCTTTATTTATACTAAATTTAATACATAGATAGATATTACAAATAAATTAAATATGTCTAATATGTTTTATATATCAAATATATCTACTATATCCAGTATGTCTATTATGTCAGATATATCAAATATGTCTTATATGTCAAATATATTTGATATGTTTGATATTTAGATCTGTGACATACTGTGTCACATTTATCAATCCAATCCGGTTACAGTATTAACATAATTTCTCACTTCATTTTCATAATATTCACACTCTGAATCACTTTCATTATCTTCTTCTTGACTTTCTCTCTCTTCTCAATACTAAAATTTCTATCATTTTTACCTAATACTTTCACAAAATTAAAAATAGAATTATCTTCAGTACTATCTACTACTATGAAAATTCTACAATACTTAAAAGATAGTTGTACTATTGCAGAATTAATATTATCCCATATCTATTTGAACTAAGTTGCTACTAATAAGTATGATGACCATTTAATTTTACCTACTAGTATATATTCCTTTATGGTCTTATTCATCCATTAATTATAAGTATAACGAACCTGTAATAATTTAAAAATTAATAAAAATTCTTTATATTTATATAGGTTAAGTAAATTAATGCTAAACTAACCTTGCTTTAAATGCTTTATTTAAAGATACATCTAATAGTTGTAAATATAAGGTCAGCCTGTCTAATATAATAACAATATCTATATTCTTTATATTAAATTAATATTTTACTGAATCTGTTCTATAAACACTAAATAAATTAAGAATAAGAAAAGAATGTGAATTTGAACTTAAATTAACTCATTTATGTCATATATTTTCCATTTACTAAAGTATTTCTTTCTTATTCTTTCAGCCATTTAGATTAATATAAATATATACACTATCTGAAAACTGCTCTTGTGATATCTTAACTAATTTAAAAATTATAAATAGAGACAGTTTAGTATCATCTGTAAGATAAATAAGAATCACTGTAAAATAGATATGTTCATATCCTATTATAAAAATTAAAATGTTTTCTTTCTATACTCTTCAATAGTTATCTAACTTGATAAATTAAATGTCATAGATGTCTCATTCATGTTACTAATTAATTTTAAAAGATAATTATGTTCAGTTTTTTGATAAAAAATATATGAGAGAAAACTTTGTTGTTCTTCATTATATTTTTTAGATAATCTTTATATAACTGTAATATATCAGAAATTTATTAACAAATGATGAGACATCAATCTATCCACCTATTTATGAGAAAATTGACATTATGAATATCAGAATATAAAGTAAAATATTCTTGTTTTTTAGCTAAATTACGAATTTTTGTATCAATTATATATCTAGTTACAGTTTTTAATTAACTTTTAACTTATAAAACTATTCTAAAAGTTCTATTTTAAGTTATGAATATTTTAGCCTTACACTAGTATTATAAAGCAATTAATATATAAAATATAATAAAATTAAAATTGTAAATTTATAATCAATTTATTTAAATATATTATTTATTCAAATATTTTGTTATAATTTTCATGATCTTTACTATCATCTATAATATTATATCTATTTCTTCTATTAATTCTTTAATTTCTTATCTCACAGATGATTAGCTAAATTATTTCTAATAAAATTAGTTAATTTATTAGCATTATCATTATTAATCTAAAGTATTAGCATAAGACTATATAATACTACGCAAAGTGATAAAAATATTCAGATGTCTTTTTACTCAAAATTTGAATCAATATATGATTGGTCCCTTTCATTATACTTATGCTCTAGACTTATAACAGTTTCTGCAACTATTCCCTAATTTAATAAAGTTTGAAAATTATTTTGATCAATAAAATATTCATCATCATCTAATATATATTCATGCTTTTCGTCACAAATATTATATAAATATAAGTTACTATAATAATATTAATTATTATCTCTAATGATATTACTAAAGAATATATGAGACATCAAAATCTTGATTTTAGTTTTCCAAATACTTGTTCTACACTTATATAAGTTTGAGAATATTTGATATATAATATATCTGTTTTATATTAATCTTCATTATTACGATATGGAGTAAGTAATTAATTTTAATAAAATCATCTAGAATATATGCATTAGTGAGAATAACTAACAGAAAAGAATCTAATATATAATATAATAAAGAATTACAAAATATTCTACTATTATAAATTAAATCAGGATATCTAGCAAAAATATTATAAATTTTCTAGAAGAATCTATAACTGCTTACAAAACAACTGAATAGAAACCTTTTTATTATAAAAATCTATAAAAAATTGTTTAAATACTTTAATTGGTATATAACTTCTATTAATTATTCCTATTGTATATAGAATGTTAACTTTTTTTTTAAATTTTTCACAATATTACTAAATTCAATATAATTATTAGAAAACCTATTTAAAATCAAATGAGTTATAATTAATTTATTTAATACTTTTAATTACTAATATACTTACTAAATTTTTGAAGAAAAAAAAGACATTTAATTATATATAAAACTGATCTAATAATATAATAAATAGTTGATTCTCCTAATGCAAATAATTGTTCAAATGTTCAATAGTTTTGAACTATAGCTAAAAACTATAAAGTTACTGAAATTTTACGATTAATTAAAATTCTTGAAGCATCTCTTAAATTATTTCTTTACAATAAAATAGATGCTATTTCAGTACATAACTATTCAAATGTATGTTTTGTTATTCTGAAATGATGCTTAAATTCTTTGTCATCCCAATTATTACATAAGGTTTAAACCAACAAATATTACAAGACCTTCTTTTTTGTCTTTTAATTGCTATTAAAAAATCATTTCTTTCAATAGCATTTATTAAAGATGGTCCCCATAATTATTTTCAAATTTCAATTAAGTTGCAACTTAAAAGTTTTTTTTTTTTTTTTAGATTTAAAAAAAATTTTGAATATTTTATGTGCCATAATGAAATTTAATTGCACCACAAGTTGCAACTCAATTGCGCCATTTTTTTTAATTGCGGTGACCATTTTTAGCATTTATACATTCATAAATCAACATTATCATCAGTTGATTCTTCAGAAAATGAATTCTTAGATTCATAAAAAAATCAAATATATAAGAAGGATAATTATAATATGCCTTTGAATATTCATTGTTTAATTTTTGGTTTAAGTTAAAACGCGTTAGTTATTAATGTAATACGACCAATCCAATCTAATGAATTTGTGAACGCACCCTATAATTCAAATTTTTTTGCCGGGTGATGCTTTTTTTTATAAGCCACGATAGCACACGAATTTTATATGAAATTTTGACTGCCGATCACTACTTTTACGCGTATTACGAATTTATATAAAATTTGCTATCACGTGACGACAAATTATTGGCTGGCCAGTGCTGATCTTCGACCAATAAATGGATTTTTACCATATATTAGACATATTTCTGGACACCCCTAGTCAAAAATAAGTTAACCTCGTAAAAAATTTCAGGTAAACAATTTTAGTCAGCAATAATGAACGAATATTTCAAGCGCGCGTCTTCGGAATGGAATATTTCGGACTTTTTGGAAGAATGCGGTTTAGAAGAGTTTAAACAGAAAATAGAAGCTTATCTTACGTCCCTCAAGGCCATCGCTGATACTCAGGAAGGTAAAAGAAGCGAACGAGCAAAGGAGTTGCTTAATAATTATAAAAAGGCAAGTGTTTTTTTTTTTTTTTTTTTAGCTAAAAACATATATTAAGAAATTTGGTGGCGTGGCAGAGGGACTTTGGGTCTTTGTGTCATTCAAGTCTTTGGGACGAGCTACGAAGCTAATGTTGGGGCGCAGAAAATCTTTGGGATTAGCTGACGTTCAAGACTTTGGGTCAACCTGGCATTGGCCCCACTGGGGCGCAGAAAATCTTTGGGATTAGCTGACGTTCAAGACTTTGGGTCGAACTTGTGGGATGCAAGATCAGACAGGCAATCAGAGATATGTTAAGAATATTCTTCTTTTCTAGGATGGCCAGCCGGGGCCAGATTATAAATTGACAAGAGATTGGGAGAAAAATCATAGTAAATTAGTCGGTTTTCACTTCAACAATTCTACAATTACGGCTATCAGCGGCGACATTGGGAATGAGAGTTACATCACTGGTGGAGCAGTGAATGCCGGAGCTTTACCTATGAAATCGCCTCGAAAAAGCCGAGGTATGAAAGCCAGGAAGAACCGGATGAGAACGTAACTAACTAATATCAGTATATTTCAATTATTTTGAAACAATTACTGATCTTTTTTTGTAATTTGTTAGCCGAAAAGAAAATCCATCCGATTCACAAATAATAACATTGATAATTACATTGAAGACGATAACGAAACCGAAGGTGAACACGAAATTAATGACATTACCGAATTTGATCTCGCTTATCAGCATATGGACCCGACAAAAATGTGGACCCTCGAATCATCCGGTCGTTTTGTTGAGAAGGTTATTTATGAATATACACGAACATTAAAGCATGAATCTTGTTTACATTCTTTTATCATCAATGATGCTGATATGAAAGCACAATCAATATTCCGAAAAGAAGAGTGGGAAGAAATATTTTCTTCTAACCTTAAAATTGTGCCAAAAATCGAGAGATCAATTACTGATCTCATGAAAAAATATTCGATTACCGATTATTCCTCATTTCAAAACAACATTTTCTACCTACTTCATACTCCCACGAGCAACATTTTGACATAAATTATATTAATCATGCATATCGTGCAATGCATACTCTTTGGGAAATTCACTCTGAACCAATCATCAAGACTGGAAGGGTGGTACCAGCACAACGTATGGAGTCCCATTATTGACCCGGCATTCCGTAATTTGGAGATTGATCTTATACGTGGAGAAAGCTCAAGCACGGCCTCCAGTGATAGAAAAAATAATGATATGGATTGTGAGGAAGATCGAAGAAGATCGGAAGGAAAGGAGATGGCATATTTAGATTGATTGGTGATAGGTTGGAGTTTGGAGCTATTGAGGCTGGAAAGAAATGGGAAGGCAAAAGCGGAAGGAAATATATTATCGACAGCCTTAAGCTGAGTAAAACGCTTAGAGATATGTTTGTACAACTTGCGAAAGAATGCGATGATGATGAACAAATTGTCAGAAAATTACAGACCGTTGGGATGCTACATAGTGGAAATCGATTTCAACTTCTTACGTTAGATGTTCCAAAGGGATATATTTGTCGAATTAAGCGTTTTGCCTTTCAGGAAGTTGCTAGTCATATAAATAATCCACCACTAGCATTTGTGTTAAAAAATATATTAAGAGCAAAAGCAATTATTAAACAGACATTAGTATTAGTACAAAAAAAGAGATCATCCTATCTTGATGATCTTGATGATCTTGATTATGACGGAAAAGAAATTAATAGATGTACAACTATTCAAACAATCACCTTAAGTAAAACTCACAAGACTCCAAAAAAAAATCGTCTATAGATGTAATACATGTAAAGCGAGATACTTTTAACAATTAAACCTTTGGTTGTACGCAAAAATAAAAATATTCATTAACTGATCAGTACTTAAATAAAGATTGTTATTATCATGGAAGTTAACATTTTTTTATTGTGTTTTATGTTATTAGAGTGTACATCAAAAAAAAAATGATTTTTGATTGAATCACGTGAAATTTTCCAATTTTTTTATCCATTGATCGGAGCTAATAATTTTAACAGAATTTATCAACTCTAAATTAATCCAGCCTATATTACATACTTTCTCGGTTATATCGCAGTAGAGTTACGAGTAAAGCGTAAGGTATTATCACGGTAGCGTCTTCAGTGATGCTTATACCTGTACGACATACTTTCTTATATTTTATTGTATTTTATAATAGGATATTCATGTGGTATAAGAAAATAGCACCTGACGGTATAAGAACGATACATACAGTAGTGATGTGCACTAGAAGATTGGAAGCTATTGGAATCTTCCAACTCTTCCAATTCCAAGCCTCCAATAGATTTTTATTGGAAGATTAAAAACATTTAAACACGTGATTTATATAACTAGCCAATATAAAAACACGACATTTATTTAAAGAAATATACATTTAAATTGACATATTTGAATTCAAGTAACTAGAAATACTAATAACAGAACTAAATAAAGTTTTAAGCTTCCATTTTGCTCTTGTATCAATTTCTAGATGTTTGTAAAAATATATAAAATTAAATTATTATTATTTAATATTTAATCATTAGGATTTACATTTAATTAATTGTGTTTAACTGATAGCATTCACACAAATTTGAAAATTCTTAAAACAATACTAGCTAATTCTTTGTAATCACCTTTAATTTATCTCCAATACTTCACCAAATTGACTAAAAGTCATCAAATAGTTTAACCTTATGTTGATAATCTTTAAAATCTAATAATAATTATATTGGTCTTTTTTAAAATCATGCTTTATAATAATATGTTAAATAGCTTCCTAATGTAATAAATAATAATTTTTCAATATTAGAATTAAAATATGTAAGCTAATACTTTAGATGAAGAATAAAAAAAAAAAGTAATAATAATAATTATTTCCATTAATTCTAATACTTTATGATTAGTTTTATTATTTTTTTTTCTAATTTAACATTAGAAACCTATTTTTAAAACTTAATAAAATACTCTAAAGTATTAGAAATTTAAAAAGACAGACTTTGTTACTTTGAAATTTATTAAAATATTATAGTATAGTAGTAGAATTTCTTGCAAAATTTTTATCATATCTTACTAATTATTATTAAGAAGAACCTTGCAAATATTTTTATTTAAATAAATTTACTGTACTGTTCTGAAATTAAGCAACCCTTTTTTACTATAGGGTTGCTTAATTTCAAATACTTTTCTTTCATAGAAGAAGAAACAAAAAAATTGCTGCATAATAAACATTTCATCATCACATTACACAAAATAATAATCTGTATAATGTAATGTGATATCACAATCAATAATCACATGTGATCAATTACAAACTTGTTTTTAACTTATTTTAAAATTTAATATATCGTCACAAAAGCAAAAAAGACTAATATTTGTTAATAAAAAACTCTTAAACGAAGCTGCAATTCATATTCTATTGAGCAAAAGAGACAAGTTGTCACTTATGTTAAGGAAAATAGAATAATTAGAGTAGCAAATACTTTTGAACTTAATAAAGTATAGTTAGTTGCTGGGTTAATTCAAATGAAAAATAGTTTAAAGAACTAAACCAAAACTGCAAACGAATAGGTTCTAGCTAAAAAAGCTTTTATCCAGATGCTGAAAAAAACTATATGATTGGATCATTGAGTAAAGAAAGCAGGGTTTAGATATTACATATACCATTGCATAAGTTAAGATACTAGATATTTTAAAAGAACCTGCTATAATAAGTCTTTATGAATATTTAACAAATGAATTTAAAACATCAAATTGTTAGATATTTGCATTTATAAAAAGATTTAATTTATTTCAAAAACGTTGAACTAAAGTTTTGCAAAAGCTTCTATTATAAACTGCTAAGTTATTAGAAAATTTCTGTCAGTTTATTATCAACCTTAGAACTGAAAAATCATTTGAGTTATCTAACATTTTAAATATGAATGAAATTTCTGTCTGGTTCAACATGGCAGGAAACTTTACAATTGATATTATAGGTGAAAAAACAACTCATATTTATGGTATTGGTAATAAAAAGAACTGATTTACAGTTGTCTTGACATATACTGCGAGTAAAGTTCTATTTAACAGTTTTTTTTTCTTTTAGCTTTATTTTTATTTAATTTTTATCCTGTAGGTAATACGAAATTTTTACCGATTTGCATCTTTAAAGGTAAACGACTACTACGTATTAAACAGATTCCATTCAGTGTCATTATTTAGTTTTAGAAAAATGGATGGATGGATACTGATTTAATGAAGAAATATGTTGATTACATTAATGATAATCTAACAATCAATAATGCTTCAACAATGATGGTATATGATTTTTTCTGAGAACATCTTGAAGATTCAGTTAAAATCAGATTTCGTAATATAGTATTGATTTAGCAGTTATTCTAAGTGGTTTAATTAGCATATATCAATCACTTGATGTAACAATTAATAAGCTATTTAAAGATAATCTTCATAAGGAATAATATATCTGGATGGCAGGAGGTGATACAGAAGTAACCACATTAGAAAACCTTTGTCATGCTAAGTTATCTGATATTTGTGGGTGGATCAAACGTGCTTAAGAAGGAATTCTAAACGAAATGGTTATAAAGTCTTTCAAGACTTATAAGATTTTAACTTCTTTAGGCATATCAGATGATGATAATAAAGATTCTAGTGATAATATTATTGGTGGCAATGATGGTAATAATAATGATGATGGTAGTAATGGTGATAATAATAATAGTAATGATAGCGATAGCAATGATAATGAATAATATTACTAATTACTATAGTTTAGACTAATTAATATTTTATAATAAAAATATATTATTAATAAATTTAATGCTATTTTTAATGTTTATTATATTTAATTATTATGTTTAATTACAGAAATTTATGAGTTGCTTATTTTTAGATCTATACTAATTGATGGGTTGCTTATTTTCAGGGATTGCTTAATTTTGGAATGGTACTATATTTGTATTTAATATTAAAGAAACTTATTTCTATTTATATTGAATTGCTAAATTTTAAAATAATATTAATAATATATAATTTTAATAATTTTATAATTATTTATAAAACTTATTTAGACTAAATTTTTAAAGAAATTATAAATCACTAATATTAATATGTAAAATAAGATAAAAACATAATATTAGAATATTCTAACCAAAATTTTGTTTATTATAAGTAAAAAAATATATATTTATATATATCAATATTATATTAATAGATTAATTGTTAATATTTAATTCTTATTAAATTTTAGTATAAGTATTGCTAATTTGAAAGAAAGAATTCTTCCTCTCTTTTTCATTTTTACTATAGGCAAAACTAATAAAAAAGTGCAAAAAGAAAACAATAAAATAAGGACTGATAAATAAAAAAGTTTATTATAAAGAACTTCTCACATGAATAATCAAAAGATTCCTTCTTAATAACTAATGATAAAAATAGCGTTACTGTTAGTTTTCAAGAGTTTTCTATTACTGCTTCTTCTCCTACTTCTCTTTTAGTATATTATGATGAGAAAATAAACTTTGAAGAGTTTGTATATAGTTTGATTAGACAGATAAATCTACAGAATAAAATAAAACATATACATAATAATACTTTTTTAAAAGAATAGTTTTCAGCTCTTTCATCCATATCACAGTCATTTTCTTCTACTCTTAAAGATGAATAAAGATCTGGCCTTTCTCTCAAATCACAAAGGATGAATAAAGGTAAAAGCAAAGAAAATAATAACACATCAATAAGTTTTGCTTTTATTTATTCTTAGTTTCTAACTTCTTTTTCCTTTCTCGTTACTTTTGAAAAAATCCAAATAAGAAATAATAGTCAACAATATAATATTATATTAGACAACAATAATAAAATACTAACTTCTTTAGAGTTTATCTAAAAAGGAATTTTATAACAATAAAACTTCCTATTAAATGATACTAAATTAGAAAATCTTCAACAATATAACTATATATCACTTATATCCAAATTAGTCATCTCATCACTATCAATACAAAAGGCCTATCACTTCATAAATATTATATTTCAAATATGTGAAAATGCAATTACATATTTTGCAATAAAATATGAAGAAGTTCAACAAATATCTTCTTATTATAATATATTATTTATTTATCTGGTAAACAAGAATAACTTTCTGAATTAAACTCCTTATAAGATAAATAATTCCTTCACAATTTTGTTCAGATATTACCTTATATTATATCTAATAATGAATTAATCAAATGATATTCATTTATTGCTAAAATCAGTAATCTTCCTCCTGATATAACTGAGTTAGATGTTTATCACATACTTACAACTTTTAAAGCAAAATATTGGCAAATTCCTATTAGTAAATTTAAAAATTCAAAAGTCAATCACATATTTGTGTACTTTAAATCACAGTATAACCTTGATCACTTCATAAAACAAAACATCATACTTAATAGTTAACCTTATATATTATATTACCTAATAAAAAAACTTGCTCATATGCTTAAGTCTTCACTGTTTTAAAAGATCTTATACTCAAATTAAAGAGTTTTTTAATCTTAGAAATTATAAAATTAAAACTAATATTTTATCTGAATCTGATGAGTCTCTTTCAGATTTTGAAGATAATGTAAAACCTGAACTTTTACCTTTCATAATATGTCTTTATTAGACCTCCTTCTATAAAGGATAGAACTTTCATTTTTAGTATCCTATATAAGATGTGATATCTTATGGAAGAGATATTCAACTATTTCAAAAAATACTTTGATACAGAATTATCTAACATTGCTAAA